TCAAACTTTTTTTTTTTTAACAGATACCAACAACAATTGACAGTATTATAAACTTTTTTGCATTTGGCTGTAAAATCGTTCAGATTCAGAAATTTTATTCACCTCTTTTTAAACAACGATGCTGATAGTTAAAACTATTTTTATGCTAAGTTATGCGCTGATGATTACAACTATTGTTATATGCTAAAACAATAGAAGAAATTACTCATTATTCCACAGCTTAACGAAACTGTTAGGTTTTAAGCTTAGATTAAGATCTAATCTTAGGTCAAAGCAAACTTTTGTACAAACTTGAATGAAAAAGCTTTAAAAATTTTGCTGCTAATGAAAAATCTAAGTTTTTTTATTGCCAAAAAAAAAAAACACTAAATTTAAATCAGTGTTCAAGGTTTTTTAACAGGCAATAAAACTGCTTAGTGATAAGACTGTATTTCTGATAGAAACTTTTGATAATCTTCAGTCAATATTCTATACAACGATTAACACTGTACAGTTCTTGAGCGGAAGTTTTAAAATTCAAGAAAAAAAAGCACTCAATAAAAAAATTTGGTTCTTTTCTTGCTTTTTTTTTTTACTTTCTAAACCTACTTTCCTTTTTCTTCTGAATAATACCGCCAGTAATAAAAGTTAAACTTTGTTTTTGTTTTCAATAACAAACAAATTACTTTAAGCAAAGTTAAAGCAAAAAAAACCTCTCCAACTTTGTTATAACTCTGAATTTTTTCTAAATTTTTTGTCTTACATTCTTTTTTGAGTAAATTGTGACTATTTTTTTTTGAACATCTAAAAAACCGCGGCTATTAGGAAAAACAAAAAAGTTGAAACAAACGTACCATATTACAGTGTTTCAACAACGAAGCAAAAAAGTGGCATCTTCAAAGTAATGCAGACAAATTAAAATATCATTGAACAGAAAAACAGAACAAAGGAAAAAAAGATATATGGGTTTATGAAAAGTATTTTTAATGATTAAAAAATGACTGACTACAAATATGACCCGATGCCAATGTTGATTTGTTAAAGAGTTCAAAAAAAGATTCAGCAGAAGCAGCAAAGTGCCAATAAGCATAATAAAAATTTTTCTTTCTTTTCCTTTTCCCTTTTTTTTTTTCACAGTTATTCTCAATGTATCGAAACTTTTTCTGAAAACATCCGATCAAAGTTGATAAACGTTTAGCTGTTAAGCTTCAAACGAACTAAAAGACCAGCGAAAAAAAAAAAAAAACCAATCTAAGTTGTGCTAATAATAGATTAACTTAGTTAGTTGTTGATCATTTGTGCACGATCTAAGTTTTCAAAACTACTTTTTTATTGAGTCTGAATTAGAAAGATAAAAAAAAAAAATGAAAGCATATGAAAGAAGAACAAATAAATAAAAAGATTTGTTGATTTTAATTGAATTGAACAAAATCATGTGCCATAAACAGATTCTTTTTCTGATGTTTCTTCTTCTTCTTCTTCTTACAACTGTTCAAACTTTATTCATCAAAACTTTACTGCATAAACTCACTCAAATATACTGTACTTTTCAACAGCTAATGACTTATAATAAATACAAGTAAGTAACAAAAGATAATAAAGCATGTAAAAAAAACTGCTATCTTCGACTGGGAAAAAAAAAAAAAGGATATTTATATGCTTAGAATATTTCTTGTCATTTGAAGGTTCTTTTTTTTTGGTGTTAACAAACTTATACATCTATCTTTAGACGTCTTTTTCCCTAAACTCACTTTTCTTTATCACATAAATTTTGTTCGTTCTCTTTTCCATTTTTTTTTTTGGCTTTTTCAATTTCTGAAGATGTCGAAAACTGTGGTGTTTTCAGCCCCGTGATTTTGTCTGCTAGAAGATTCGTCTTATACACCGCTTTTTTTTTCTTCTTCTTTTTGTTGTTTCTCACTTTGCTTTCGCTCTAAGAATTCATTTATTGCATCAAAAAACAACTTACGGGAAAAACTTATAAAAGCCGTTGATCTACCCCAAAGATGATCAATACATTGAATGTTTTTATTCAACAAAACAGTCAGTTGGATTCTGTGGCTTGGCTTCAAATAATTTTTCACTACTTTCCAGCAATCAAATTTAAACTACTGTTTTCCACACATCTCTTTTATCTTATCGTCGTCTCTTACTGCCGCTTTTAATTTAATCTATTTAATTGACTTTTCTACAGCAATAATGACTAAACAAATAAATTCATGTACAGATTTGTACAGAACTGCCTTCTTACACTAAAATTATTAATTTCTGATGATCAAAAGAAAAAATATTTGTTTAAAAAAGTTTTTTTTTCTAACTTATCTGTTTATATGTTAAAACTTTTTCGTTTAGTAATGAACATTGTATTAATGCCCTTTCCTATGCAAAAAAAAACTTTTATTAAAAAACGTTTCACAAAAGAATAATTCAGGCAAATCTTCCACTAAAAGAACAATGGACCAAATCTATTATTTGTCGTATAGGTCTATCTATGATAAAGCGAAATAAGTATAGCTAATCTGCAGAAAAAAAAACCTTCTTTTGACCACAGAATACATCATAAATGTACAAATTTGTTTTGTTATACAAAATTAAAATTTCAGATTCTCAATGTAACCATTAAAAAATTTTTTTGTAAACTTTTTTTTTTTCCTTTTTGCAGATAAAACAGTTAGCATATG